TGTCCGTTTTACTTCCAGATTTTGGAAGCGGTTCCACGACGAGATGGGTACTCGTCTCCATTTCAGCACCGCTTTCCACCCTTAGACGGATGGGAAAAGTGAGAGGACGATTCAGACTCTCGAGGACATGCTACGCGCATGCGTGTTATATTTCGGTGGCAGTTGGGATACGTATCTTCCGTTAGCGGAATTTTCGTATAACAACAGTTACCACGCCAGCATAGACCGACCTCCCTTTGAGATGCTCTATGGGAGGAAGTGCAGGACCCCAATCTGCAAGACCACCGAGCAGATCCAGCAGGTCCGGAGCTGACTCCAGACTGCTCAGAGTCGGCAAAAGAGCTACGCCGACAAGCGGCGTTCAGACTTGGAGTTCCAGGTGGGCGATATGGTCCTCCTGAAGGTGTCACCCTAGAAGGGTGTTATTAGGTTCCGGAAGCGGGGCAAGCTGGGCCCCAGGTTCATAGGTCCGTTTAGGGTATTGGCCCGGGTGGGTGGGGTTGCTTACTGGTTAGATCTTCCAGCAGAGCTCAGCCAGATCCACAATACGTTCTATGTTTCGCAGTTACGGAAGTGCTTAGTGGATGATTCAGCAGTGGTGCCCCTTGAGGATATTCAGGTTGATGACAGCCTGAACTACATCGAGAGACCAGTGGCGATTTTAGATCGCAAGACGAAGGAGCTGGGGAACAAGAGGGTGGAGTTAGTGAAGGTGCAGTGGCAGCACCGAAAGGGTTCAGAGTGGACAAGGGAGCCCGAGGAGGAGATGAGGGAGCACTACCCGGAGTTGTTTTCAGATTCAGCAGACTTCGAGGACAAAGTCTAAGACAATTGGGGGATTATTGTAATGCCCCGTTCTTGTTACGTATTTAATTCATTAAATGTTCATTTTATAAGAGCTACTCGACGAGTTGGTAGCCCTAGCTCGTCGAGTAGATGCCATCTTGATAGCGGGGTTTAAGTGGTCTACTCGATGAGTCGAAGCATGGACTCGGCGAGTAGGTTCATCAGGAAGAAACCCTAATCCTTAGGGTTTTCACCCTATTTAAGCATCACTATGGGTCTCCACCCCATCCCCATGACCTCCACAACCCACTCTCGAAACCCTACTTAGTTTTGGTGAAGTATTGAGCTAGTTCTTGCCATTTTGTGATCTTAAGCTTGAAGAAGGAAGCAAAAGCATGGAGTTGCAGAAGGAAGGTTGGAGATCCAGAGCTAAGGACTCATTTCTGTCTTCATAAAGGTATAAAGCTTATACCTTGGCTGTTATTCAATTAGATCTCTCTCCTAGGTTGAATGTTGTGAGTTTTGGGGCCATTTCCAATGCAATTACGAGATTTGAACTCTTGGGAGTGTAGAGACTTCATATCTGGGCTATATTGAGCTTTAGAAGCTCAAAGGTGCCACCTTTATGCAACCATAGGCTATGTAATGATTTAGATCTCCATTTCTAGCTTGTAATGAGTGTTTTGATCTTATATCTTCATGCATGCACGTAAAGTTAGCAACTTTACGTGTTATGCTAGGCTAAGGAGCCAATATCTATGAGTTAGAAGCATTGGAATCATTTAGAATCGACTGTATGGTTTTAGCATGCAAGGAACTCGCCGAGATGTTCTTAGGACTCGACGAGTCGGATCGAGTCCCCAAACCTTTTGTGGTGGTGAGTGAAGTCATTGAGTTAGGGGGGATGACTCAGTGAGTTGGACAATATTAGGACTCGTAAGCTAAAGGACTCATCGAGTCCAAGGAGGGACTCGACGAGTAGAGTCAAGATTTCCCGATTATTATTATTATTACAGAAAGAACTCGACGAGTCAGTACAGGGACTCGGCGAGTTGACTCAGTGGACCACGAGTTTGAGCATTTCAGGGACTCGTCGAGTTTGGGAGATGACTCGACGAGTTGGGTTGATTGGGGGTTGACCTTGACTTGACTTTGACCAGAGCGTTGACTTTGACTAGGGGTAAAATGGTCATTTTACCCTAGGAAGGAGTTTCAGATATTGACTATGTATTATTGTGTTTTGATAGCCGGAGGGACGTCGAGGCAGTTACCGGATATTCCTCACCGCGAGATTTCACAGACAACTTTACGAGGTGAGTTTTCTTCTAGTAGGAACGGGTCTACAGCCACAATGCCGACCAGTTTAGATAATAGTAGTTTCGGATTTCGATCCGATGTAGGGGTTAGCCCGATGCAGTTTATATGTTTCCGGACTGCGGTCCGATGTCGGGGTAGTCCTGAGAAGTAGTTAAGTGTGCGTGATGTATTTGTGATTCATGCATGTTATATGATATGTGTTATGTGTTCTGGGCTTCGATCTGATGCTAGGGCAAGCCCGATGTATTCTAGTTTACATGTTATGTGTTATGTGTTCCGGGGTAAGCTCGATGCCGGGCCAAGCCCGATGTATGTTAGTTATTATGCCATGCGCTATGTGTTCCGGGGCAAGCCCGATGTATGCTAGTTTTCATGTTGTATGTTATATGTTCCGGACTTTGGTCCGATGCCGGGGCAAGCCCGATGTAGATTATGTGATTATGTTGTGTTTAGTATATATGTTATGATGTGTATGTGACGGGGTAAGCCCGATGTAGGGGTAAACCCGATGCCCGATGCGGTCGAATGCCGGGGTGAGCCCGATGTCGGGCAGGAGTCCGATGTCGGGTAAGCCGATGTCGGGATTCGTCCCGATGCAATTGGGAGAAGTCCCAGAGTTATGTGATTATGTGATATGTTATGTGTATGTTATGTGGTAGTTTGGGGGAGCTCACTAAGCTTCGTGCTTACAATTTCAGTTTTGGTTTCAGGTACTTAAGCTAGCAAACGGAAGAGCCCGGAGTGATCACATGGCACACACCACAGTTTTATAGCCTGGGAGTTTACTCTGATATTTTTATATGAGACTATAGTCTGTTGACAGATTTTATGAGATTTGAGATACATGGTTTATGATTTTACATTATGTGAATTCTATTTATGTTTTAGTAATGATTTAAAAAAACGAAATTTTTGGACAATGTTTTTGGGATGTTTCAGTTCGGGAATCTATCAACCAGCAATGAGAGTTTTATCCACGGGACTTCAGCAGTTCCAGGTGAGTCTCCTCACCATAACAATGGGTGTAAGGCACCAAGGTCGGCCCATTTAATTAGTTGTCATGATTATTAGGAATGTGCTAACGATCCATTATGTATTTATGTGAAGACCTTGCGGGGGTTCCCGTGCCAATTAGTTATATATTGTATGCTAGTTGATTGTGTGATACTTGGTATGCTACTTGTCTTTGTGATACTTGCATGGAAGACCTCGGGGGGTTCCCACGGCATCTAGGTATAAGACCTTGGAGGGTTTTCATGGCATCCTAGGTAAAGACCTCGGGGGGTTCCCGAGGCACTAGGGTTTAAGACCTTGGAGGGTTTCCATGGCATGCTTAGTTGAGACCATGTGGGGGTTCCCGTGGCATTTGGCTAAGTCCACGTGGGGGTTCCCATGGCACCCGGTGTAAGACCCTAGAGGGTTTCCAAGGCATCCTTATATGTTTTCATGTTTAGCTCATATGTTTGTATGTATGGTTTGATTGGTAGTTAGTGAAGACCATGTGGGGGTTCCCATGGCAGTGGGCTAAGACCCTAGAGGGTTTCCAGGGCACCCGGAGTAAGACCCTGGAGGGTTTCCAGGGCAACCCTATATGTTATATGCATGACATGTGTGGTGGATACAGTTTATGCGATTATATGTGTAAGACCATGGAGAGTTTCCACGGCATCCTATGCATGTCATATATTGCTTATATGATTGATATGGTTTATGTAGTTGTTATAGCTGATATAGATTATGTGGTTATGTGGACTGTGTGAGGTATGCTCTAGGGAACTCACTAAGCTTCGTGCTTACAGTTTTGTTTATGATTTCAGGTATCATTGTTCTAGAAAGGAAAGGCTCAGCTTGATCGCAGCACACACACCCGTGTTTTCCGCATTATGTGTTTTTGGGATGAACTCTGATAAATGTTTTTAATTAGCAATGTTTTTGGAATACTTGGATTAAAAGATATATGTGTTTTGACTGTATTGAAAAATGAAAATTTTACCCCTGATTTTTGGGTCGTTACAGTAAACAACCCATGTACTTATTAAACGTTTAAGGACTTTGGTGGTCTTTGGTAACTTGGTACTTTGCAAATTTGCTATATTGTTAATGGTTTAATGTATTTATTATGAAATTGATATTTTGGAACTTTGTTATATTGTTAAGGACCTTTATAGTGAATTTTGGTAGTTTGACACTTAGCATATTTGTTAAGTGTTTAATGCATTTGGTAATTGTTAATGACTTAATGTGTTTGTGACTTAATTGATTTGGTAGTTTGATAGTTTGTTAAATTGTCAATGATTTAATGTATTTGTGACTTGATTTATTTGGTAGTTTGATATTTTTCACATATATACTTACTTTGTAGGATGTATAGGTGTTAATGTTTTTTTATTTTTTCAAAACCCTATGTTTGTAACGGCAATTGAAGATATTATCCCTCGTTAAAAACCAAGTCTACGTCAAAAGCTTTATTAGTTTAAGAAAGTTGCCTTTATTAATTTTTTTGTGTTAAGTTATGAGTCTTTTTATTAGTATAGACAGAGGGTATATGTAGGTTATTTTTAATAAAGTTGTAAGTCCTTGCGGAAAAGTCTTGCATTCCAAGTGTTTTTTTTCTTTTTGTATGTTCCTGTTTGAGTTCACGCTTGCAACATCGAATTGATTTATTGTTTTTATTGCACTTTCAGATACCTCATTTAAAATGAGCTTAACAAAAGTCAAACAAAAAAATGAGAATGATACATTGATATTTTATCGTAACCTCTAAAGCTTAAAGGAACCACGAACAAAAAAAGAATATTACAAGAATAATGACCTTCAAGCACTCAATCCACTTGTATACCCTCGCAAAATTTCATACATTTTTTTCTCAGTTATACATCTCCATGTCATCTTAAAAGAAAACCTAACTGGCATTAAAAATCAATCATTTTTAATTTGGACGTACAACATAAATAGAACTGAAATAATTTATAATTGAGTCTAATGCAAATACATCTTACAACCGAATTCTAATTTATCCCTTTTACGTTTTATCAATAGATAAAAGATCTAAGAAAAACAAAAACAAATGGTTTCTACTTTCTTGAAAACATATAAATATCGTTGGCAAGTTTCTCAATGTTCAAAGAGGATGAGCCTTTAGCATTGGTTGCAATTTCAATCTTTTTCTTCCACTCGATTGCCTTGCTCCTCATTCGTTTACCCTTCTCTCCTCCAATCAACTCCCTTGTGAGCCTCTCGACTTGATCCCTGCTCACGTTACTATCGATCTCCATGCCAACTTCCCATACCTTGCACATTTGCCTACAATTAGTTGGTTGGTCCCATAAATATGGCCAACATAGCATGGGGACCCCAGCCGATAAGCTCTCAATAGTCGAACCCCACCCACAATGAGTCAAGAACCCACCAACTGAAGGGTGCTTCAACACTTCTTCTTGCGAACACCAATTTGCGATAAAGCCTCTCTCATTAATCATCTCTTTGAGTTCTGGAGGAAAAGAAGCTGATTCTCCAATAACCAAATCAGGCCTGATGATCCAAAGAAAGTAATGATTGCTATTAGCAAGTCCCCAGCCAAACTCAAGCAACTGTTCTAAAGACACTGATATTAGGCTTCCAAAATTGACATAAATCACTGAATGTGGTTCCTTTGCATCCAGCCATTTAAGGCACCCATCTTCTTCTTTCCACAGACTGTAGCTCTTAATATGCAACTTCTTTGTTTCTTCTTCAAGGTTTATCGGATTTAGAAGCAACTCCAATGGCCCAATCGTGTAGACACGAGGAATCATGAGTTGGAGGGCTTTGACGACGGTTGACTCTAACTCCTCAAATGTGTGGAGAATTATGTTTGGGACCTTCCTAGTTGCCTTGATGGACTCAATGACATAATTATAGTCTGCATCATTTGGGTTTGTGGTTCTAATGAAACCCGGAAGGTCCTTTAAACGGAATCCTTCTAATCCTGGAATGCAATCTATTACTGTGTCAAGATACCCATTGGTCATGCAACTTTCATCTGAAACATTAGCAAAACTTAGTTATGTCACTGGACAAATAAGTAAACATTTTCCAAAAAAGATTAAATCAAATCCATTCTTAAGTTATGACAATGAACGAATAAGTAAACATTTTGCAAAAGGCTAATACAAATTCATTTCTTGTAAGGAGTACAAAATTTTCGGGATTAGGGATAACTTCAATCTTAATTTGGCGCACTAATATAATCAAATTGAATAGAAAGTGAATCTTATTTTATACAGTTTTTACTTGAAAAATATCTTTAAAAAAAATTAGTTTTTGGGGTCTGTTGTTTTCAAGAAACTAATTAATTAATTTATTAATGTGATTTTACAGTTAGCTAACACTTGTGCTTCTTCGTCTCTCATCACTTCTGATTTTGAAAGTAAATTACCACGTTTGATTCTTAGTACTTATAGTCATCTATACACGTTCACACAACAAAATCAATTTTGAACAATTTTATTTGCTTCGGAATTGGAGGGAGGTAAGAGGCTAACCTTTTAGTGGGATAAGTCCTTTCTCAATTAGAACTGGAGCTTGGTAATAACCCATGAAAGCACAAGCAGGAAATGTCCAAAAATGGATGATCGGGACTTTAAGCTTCTCAGCAGCGTCAACAGTGAAAGGCATCATACCATCAGCAAGAATACAAGTACCTGGATTCTTTAACCTTCCCATAAGGTCAAGAAAGGGATCCAAGAAGTTGACTAGAATAGAGGCAGTGACTGCATACATGAAGTTTGGTGTACCCTCGGGAACACCATCGGGAATGGTCTTGAACTGGAACCCTGGTTCACCATCGAGAGAGTTTGGCCCTCCGGACTTAAGTAACTGCTTGTGGTTAACCTCGGTGTTGACGAAGGTTATGTTTAGGCCCTTGTTGTGCAATAGCCTTGCTAGTTTTAGCATGCACTTGATGTGGCTTTGTGCTGGATATGGTACGAACACCACATGTGGCTTGCTTTCAGCTTTCACCAGTAATGTTTCCATCTTAGTGTGTACGCGTGTGAAAGATTTATGATATGTTAAATGCGTAGCCAGACGCTTGTTATATAGAGACACGAGAAATGATTACGTGAAGATATTGTGTATGTGTGGATTCGAAATTTCCTCACACTAACGAAAAATAATTTATGAAACACGTTTTATACGTTTAATAATTTCATAATTTAAGAATCAAATATTATTTTCTTGGCAGCTGGCGACAGGATTTTCTAATCAATTAAAATTTTTCCTGACATTTATACGTATAATTGCAAACCATACAACACTTCTCTAATAACCTTAGTATATAACAATGATACATCATGGCTGTTCAGCAACCCCCTTTTGGTGCATTATATTATATTATTATTAATTCATATATCTCTATCACTCTCATGTAATCAGTCCACGCTGGTATCCCTTTTTTGTTTATACTTTTTGAATGATTGATCATTGACGCCTTGATTGTCGACCTTGGATGTTCACGTGCTGCTTCTCCATATGTGGTCCTCTATTCTGTCTTTTACTAATTTTTTATTTTATTTATATTAGGTTTAAGACTCATGTATTACATGTGTTCATTTTAAAAAAAAATAAAATGAAATTCTAAACATTTGAGAAGTTTGAATTTATAAGAAAAAATAGAAAATATTGAATTATTAAAATTAAATTGTTTGTTTTTCTTTTAAATTAAACAAATAATTTAGATAAATAAACAAAAGAAACTAATGAAACTTTAATTTAGAAATTAGAAGGAAGTCAATTAATGAAATTAATATGCATTTATTATTATATTATTGCAATTATTACATTTAAATATTATGTGAAAATTAATAAAATGAAAAAAAATAACAAAATAACATGTGGAAAAAAATTAATTGAAAATAACCACAAAATGACATGTGGCCAAATCAACGAGAGTGTGACATTTGACAAAAAAAAATTATTTATTAGGGAGGATTTGCAAATTTATAATTACATTTGATAGTTTGATAAAAATTATGTAATACATATGATATACAACTAAATATATTTTCCCTGTGGCAAATTTAAAACTCTTAACAGGTCCCGGCCAAAGGTAACTGGACGACTTCTCTAGGCCTCAAATGTCAAAAGGAATTGATTCGTATAAAACAATTTTTTCTATACATAATAATATATGCTTTAAAATGTTCCATTATACAATTTATAAAATATAAATTATTATGTATGTAAAAAAATATTGTGTACGAATTAATTCGCAATACCAAAAAACATCTATTTTGTACTTATTATATTTGGTTATGTAATGACAACTTATTGTTTGAAGCCCGGTGAACTAGTTTTAGGGTCTAATCAGGGGCCATAATGGTATAGTGGGAGCGAAGTTCGATTTAGGAAATCGTGCTTTGTGGATTTCTAGTTTCCAAAGTGTCATCAACAATATCATGATTATGAAGTAAACTCCAAACACCATCGCTTCCACTTCCTCGCACAACAACAGATAATTCTTTTATTTTTTATTTGAGTTCTTATAGTTTATTCTCTTCCGATTTACAAAATAGTATGATTTCTTATTCCTCTCTTTTAATTTACGAAATTTGGTTTATTATTTATGAAATACCGTAAGACACATGATTTCTTTTTGAAGAGGAAGACTTAAGTTATTTTATAATATATGCTTTAAAATGTTCTATTATACAATTTATAAAATATAAATTATTATTTATGTAAAAAAACATTGTGTACGAATTAATTCGCAATACCAAAAAACATCTATTTTGTACTTATTATATTTGGTTATGTAATGACAACTTATTGTTTGAAGCATGGTGAACTAATTTTAGGGTCTAATCAGGGGCCATAATGGTAAGTGGGAGCGAAGTTCGATTTAGGAAATCGTGCTTTGTGGATTTCTAGTTTCCAAAGTGCCATCAATAATATCATGATTATGAAGGAAACTCCAAACACCATCGCTTCCACTTCCTCACACAACAACAATTAGTTCTTTTATTTTTTATTCGAGTTCTTATTGTTTTTCTCTTCCGATTTCCAAAATAGTATGATTTCTTATTCCTCTCTTTTGATTTACGAAATTTGATTTATTATTTATGAAATACCGTAAGACTCACATGATTTCTTTTTGAAGAAGAAGACTTAAGTTATTTTATAATATATGCTTTAAAATGTTCTATTATACAATTTATAAAATATAAATTATTATGTATGTAAAAAAACATTGTGTACGAATTAATTTGCAATACCAAAAAACATCTATTTTGTACTTGTTATATTTGGTTATGTAATGAAAAATTATTGTTTGAAGCCCGATGAACTAATTTTAGGGTCTAATTAGGGGCCATAATGGTATAGTGGGAGCGAAGTTCGATTTTGGTAATCGTGCTTTGTGGATTTCTAGTTTCCAAAGTGCCATCAACAATATCATGATTATGCAGGAAACTCCAAACATCATCGCTTCCACTTCCTCGCACAACAACAATTAGTTCTTTTGTTTTTTATTCGAGTTCTTATTGTTTTTCTCTTCCGATTTCCAAAATAGTATGATTTCTTATTCCTCTCTTTTGATTTACGAAATTTGATTTCTTATTTATGAAATACCGTAAGACTCACATGATTTCTTTTTGAAGAGGAAGACTTAAGTTATTTTGAAGCTTAAGTTAAGTGAGGCTTGACCGTTGACTTTTTGACTGGTTTGACTTTTGGTCAACCATGTTGGGACTTAATATTGAAAGGGCAAAATGGTCTTTTGCCCAAAGGAGGTTTGATTATGAACCTAGACCTTTGAGAATTGGTTTTTACCTAAATTGTCTATTAGGGTTTTATTATGTATATGTTTAGAAAGATGAGACTTGATATCGTCGGCTCGAGTGTGTGGTTTATCTGGTCTTCATGATTGAGATGAGTTTCTCACTATACTCGTGGGTAGAAGGCACCAATGTTGGCCCACTAGATTATGTTATGTATCTTTGTGTATAGGATGTGCTATGTGACAACTGCCAATTTTGGATACAACAGACGTCAAACAAGTTAACAAAAATCAACAAGTCAACGAAAGTCAACTCAACCCATACTAGAATTTTAGGTGAATCTTGATGTTCCCTAATGTACAATTTCCGAGTAATAATATGAAATACCTCTCTATTCGCCGATTATTGAATAAAAATCGTATTTTACATTTACAACGTTAATTTGGACAATTCCAACATATATTATTTTGGTATAAATAATATTTTCAACACATTAGGCTATTATCTTTATTGATAATGATTTTTTTTAATAATTTGAATTTTTATGATTCAAATTAGGTAGTTATTCGTTTTTATGACACACTTTTTATAAAATTAACACTCTTTTTATAAAAATACCAACATTGTTATAAAATATAAAAGAGTTGACTTTGGGGTGCATGGAAAGCCCCAATTTTGGTCACATCTAGTATCAACTCCCCACCAGACATATTATCCAACATGTAACCAAGTAAACATCACATCACCCCACCCCACTCGCCCTTGGCAGTTATAGCGGTCCAAAATCAAATATCGGTCAAGGGCCGATATTTGAGATATAGGTTATCGCGGTGAGATATCGGTGGGATATCGGTATTTTGATATCATGCATAATTTATATATATATATATATATATATATATATATATATATATAATATATATATATATATATAATAGTAATATCAAAAGTCAAAACTCAAAAGTGTCAATATTTCAAGCATAATCATACGTAAGCTATGGAATCTTCCTCTAAGTCCACATCAACCAAGGTTTCCAATTATTTTATAAAGGTCTTCCACATTTACTCTAATATCATCATCATCATCATCATCATCATCATCACCAGTTAAGAATTAAGTACTTAACATAACAAGATGATCAAACCTGTAGAAACTAGCAAGTTAACACTTAAGTATTTAACAATTAACACAACAATAGGATCAATTAAGACTTAAAGCCATGAGTCTATGACTTAAAACTAATAATTAAGTACTTAACATAACAACAAGTTCAGATAAGTTCAGACCATAAGACTTAAGACAATGATTTAACACTAACAGAAGTAACTAAAATTACTTAACTGATATCCCACCTGGAAATCACCTGGAAATATCGGTAAATATCGCCGATTTTTGCGGTTTCGGTATTTTGGACCAATATTTGACATCGATACTTTGGAAGGTACCGATAATCGATATCCCACCTGGAAATCAACTGGAAATCGCTGATATTAACTGCATAGCACTCGCCCCACACCCACCCCCTCCTACCCCCCCCCCCCCCCCCCATTAAAGGTTGCGGCCGAGAGGGGTCTCCCTCACCCTCATCATCTTCATTCTTCAACTTTTCTCTCAAGAACAAGTCCAACTCTTCCAAAGATCAATACCTCCAAGTTGGTTCTTAGATTTTTGGTAAGCATTTCCTTGTTAATCTAGTGTTTCTACACATTTTAATACTAGTTTCATCTCGTTTACACACATTATCATGTGTTAAAATGCGTAGGATAATACCATCTTCAAAGAGTTCTTCAGCCACCTTCAAGTGTTCTAAGCTTGAGGATCTTCACCATCACCTCTCTATCCAACCACAAACACACTCAATGTGAGTTCATACCCCCATATTTTTGAGTTTTCATGTTTTTTTTGTGGGTGGGGGGGGGTGTGGGGGGGAATACGTGAGAAGTGTGATTTATAACACAAATGTTTGCATTTTTGATTTCTATGTGTGTATAAAGCATCATTTTTCATAAAATATGGTTATTACTTGTTTGTAGAACATTTTTTTGTGGTATGTTAGTTGGTGATGCAAATCTAAGAAAAACAAACATAAACTATGTTATATGTTCTTTAGAAAAGTTTAAAACTACCAAGCTACAAGGATTAGGATTTTTATGGTCAAAAGATGACTTTTCTAGCAAAAATGATTAGATCTTAGTTATTTCACCATATTTGTGGGATATAACCCAAAATATATTGTTTAGGACATATATTTTGAAAACTAGACTAAAATACCAAGGAGTTAGCTTTACAAAAGAAAACTTAAAAATCTATCATTTTATGTAAA